AGTTACAACAACAAATAATTTCCCTTTGGGATTAATAAAGTATTTTTGAATTGAATTGAATGTAGTCCCTCCAAATAGCCTACAATTAGGGGATACAAACACTTCCTCTTTCATAATACTGGGTGACTAAAATTTAAATTGCCAGTTAAATTTTTAATTAAATAAATAAATGCCATAATAATTGCACATTAATGGAAATAATATAAATTCAAATTGTAAATAATAGATGTTTTTAAGACTAATTTTTAACCATATTTTCTACTACTGTATATATTTTTCAGAGTTCACCAAGCAAGACTGTTTTATCACCATTAACCTGTATAATTTGATGACACCTGGTCTATGTAATCCACTTTAAATTACCCTTTTTTTAGGAAACCTTACCTGAATAAATATTTTTGCCTGTGTGAGATTATCTCAGTGATAAACATATTATTACTCCAAACTGAACTCAAGCAAACCATTTATTTGAGCATTAATTTATTGTGTTACTTATTTCATAACCATATGCCACAGCTCTTCACAGTTTTTCCACAAACTTCACAAACAGGGTCTTGGTTGTTTTTGGAGCTGAAATAGCTCCACACGTGACTTTGTGTACGCTCCGCCATTATTTATGTTTACAGTCTGACTGACTGACCACGGCAAGCAGTGTGCCACTCCGCTTACATGCATTGCACCACTGGCAGAAGAAAAAGTAGTTCCCACCAACCATGTATCATTTAGACAAGATCTCAAGAGTTTACTTTCCCCTACCTTCCTGTTAATGACATGCATTACCTGAAATGACTGAAGTATCAAAACCATCGATATTTTGAGTTAAGAATCGATTCCAGAGCGCAGCCTCTGGAGTGTAGTATCGATATTTTATATCGATCCGCACATCGCTACTTCTCAGTGGTGTACCTGTGACCCTTCCTAGATCGATGGGCAGAAAAGTTGCTTCTCTGAGGTCACTGCTATTGTCATTCCACCCTGACATTGTGTTTACACACTCTCCCGAGCAGCAAACTGACCAAACACCTGCTTTACTGATGAAAATCAACCGATCATAATTTCCCTGATCTATAGATCTGCTGTGTAACACAGTTCAGAGTTCAGATGTTGCAGTTTTAAGGAACACAATCACTTCTAAGTCCTGTTCTCTGCCGAAACTAGACCTGGTCTAAGAACGTACTGAAGACCACTGCAGAGACATCTGTCGACAGATTATAAATGATCTGTAATAAAATATCTGTACTCTGAAGTTATTCATTCATTCATTCAGTCATGACATGAAGGCCACTAATGTTTTAATTTGTTTTACAACATATTCTAATAAATGAGAAGTTAAATAACCTCTTCTTAACATTAATATTACTGTCCCCCTCCTGGACTTTACCCTGAACTAGTAAACAGAAGACGGTCTTATTATTTGCTTGTAAGAACCGTCCGTGCTCGATCTTCCTTCTTCCTCACACTTCTCCGGACAAACTGCTGCGCGTTCATGAGCTCACGCGTTCAGAAATGACTGGAAACTGAAGAAAAGAAAGATTCTCACGATTTACTCCTCTGCGACACACATAACTCAGCCGGACGATGGCAGCCATGTTGATCAACCCACCAAGGTTATCATGTCACCCGGAAGTACTAACGTTTCGACAGCGCCATCAATGGCTGCTGCGGCGCAGGAATTTCGGCCGCCATCTTGGAGCGGTCGTCCTTATTTGGTTAAAGCAGAAGATGTTTCAGCATTTCGCAGCTTATTTCTGTTCAAATCGATGGACTGTTGACGTCAGGTCTCGGGGGATAACTTTTCACAAGTAAGATGAACATACTATTGTGAGTATTTTGTGAATAGAATATTACTGTACTGTATTTATGTCCACCAGCTGATGTTATGTTCAGTGTAACAGCGTTCAGTTCAGTGTTCAGCTGCAATGAAGCTAACTGAGATCTGATGACAGGAATATTTTTCTAACAAGCATACTCACAATTTCTGTAGCATTGGTTCATTATCAACAGATATGCATCAGAATTAGAGTTTTGTTTAAGTTCTAGGATATATAAAAAAAATAAAACTAGTGAGAATATAGGAAATAGAAAATAAGATTGACCTCCTCTGTACAATGTTTTTGTGTAGACACAAATCTCCTGTTTTCATTTTAAAGGTTTCCCAAAGAACAA